TGATTTAAGCACTAGATAGCTTTCTTGCTGGATCTCGTTTTGCCTAGGGGCTAACAGTGCCTATGGGCTCCAAACTTTAAAGGGATAAATTACAGTCTCATTGAGGGGTTCAGTAGTGTCCTAGTAACAGTTCATAAATGAACAGTGCTCTTCTTAAAGAAATGACAAATTTGTGTCTAGCTATAAATGCAAGAATACACCCACAGACACACACATAGATACACACTTTTTTGGTTGTTCATTTTATGATTATAAATTTCTGCCTTATATTCCTCATCTCTCAAGAGAAAACTTGTGGATAAATGCTTATTTTATTTCTTATTCAGTCCTCTATATGAGAGATACATTATTTACAAACACCTACAGCTCCTGCTATTCTTTACCAGATGAATACTATTTTGCAATGCAATCTGGGCATTTATTTCTAACTAGAAAACAACTGTTGTATTTTTTTTCCTTGCATTTTGTTGTATGGCAGTGTGACATGACTTACTTATTTTTAATCACACCCCCTAGAAAAGTAACTACAAATTACAGAATTATTTATAAAGCTGATTCTTTGCATTAATTGTGTGTATCCTACAAAAAAGAAATATGCCAAGTGGATGCTTCTTAGTTTGACTTGAATGCAATTATTACATTAGACAAGAGGATTTGCTTCTTTTATGAACTACCTAATATTGTCATAAAGCTGGCAAATGGATGATCAAAAACTTCCTTTCTTTTATAATATACTGACAAAGACTTAACCTTTAAATTTATAAAAGAATGAATGATCAAAACTAACTTGTGTGTACTTCAGAGGTTAAAAGCCCATCCTCTCCCTACTTCCACTCTCAGAAAAAGCACAATTAATTCAGAACTGAAACGTCCTTATTAAAAATTGTAAAGCACCAATTACCGTACATCAGATCAGTTTACTTAGTTGCATAGGAAAAGAGAATGACATTTTTTTTTTCAGGGGATAATTAACTTCATTTAAATATTTAATGTAAGAAAAACACTTATGAAGAAATTTATTTCAGGATTACAGAGATGTAACTGATGAAACTGGAGAGGAAAGGGATATTTCAACTCAAGAGTAAGAGAGATGCAGAAAAGAAAGGTTTTGCCAGCCTCCTGTGATATGTTCAAACAGAAAGTAGCTGTAATATGTTGTTCAGCCAAACTGGAAAGATAAAAAAACACTGTATTAATAAGTTCTTTAAATATTGCATACTTTTGATATTGAACCAGATTGTGTGTATGAATCCCTCTTTTCCTCTGTATTTACCTCATATAGATAGTTTTACGAAGTCCATTCTATATTTTAAACTCTGGTATATGTTAATAAACACATTAGTGCACTGTGGTGAAGAGACATTGCAATGATTTAACTGTAATGATTGAAATGAAAATGTATTTATTTCAGGCAAAATGCATAATATTTTAATTACATTGAATTTCTGTTAAATTATAGCTAAAAGATGTTTGATACATTACATATATTTAATACAAATGCACATAATCTTTAGAAATGAATCACCTTCATTGTGATTTTTTTTTTCAGCTCCAATAAATGAAAGGTCTTTTGACATATAAAAACTATGTAATTTTGAATTATGCTTCTACTTTGAGCCTGTGCATTGATTGAGTAATTTCATCAGACCCAAATTACTTGATTGCTTAGAAGTTTTCTAATGATCTGCATGCTGTAGGAAGAACCAAAAAGTCGTGAGTGGAATGGCAATGATACCGTGTTTTATGAAGCTATTCAAAAGTCGCTCTGATTTATGTAGCTAGAAAGCTCCAAAGTCTTTGAGATTAGCCACGCTGACTGCTATTTTCTTCATAGATCAGTCGTCCCACACTCTTCACTCCCTAAACACAAGAGGAGTTTAGAGCACTGCTTTAATTAAGCAGGGATTAGGTGGCATTTCCAGTCAAGTGCACAGTTTGTGTTTTCCTTCATATCTAATATGGAGGATCTCATGTTTTAACAGTTTAATATATGCTCATTTCTTGCTCTGGTTCTTGTACTCACAGAACCAATTGTAAATGAGCTAACCTCAGTTATATATCTCTACAAGGGAACATTAAAAAATGTACTGATTCATATATTACACAAATCATTAGCATATTTTTGTTACTAGTCACAGTAAAATACCTTATGTCAACAAGGAGGAGAAAGAAGCATTCATTTATGCTTTTCTCAGAAGCAAACAATATTTTATCCTCTGAGATCACAATCATCAATTAAGACTTTATGCTTGAGAAGCGTAAGACAGAATATTTTCACCTTGAGAATGTTCAAATTAAAGTAGAAAATTGGTGGGAGAATAAAATGTGTTACCACATTAAAAACAGTAATGGATGGTAAATTTAAAGCATCACTTTTCTTTAGCTCACACTAAGGACTAGTTTATAAAACACAGAATGTGATTTCCTTAGATTTCTAAAGTCTGAAAAGGTAGATGATGTATTATTTCTTTCATCAAAATGTTTCTTTTTATGCTTTTTACATGACTTGTGTTGGTTAATGATATCCCCAGGTGTCATCAAGGACTTCTTCCACTGTATAAAATATCTCAATGATTCTATATCTTTATGTTACTTAAGTTTGCTCTGTAAGTTATGGATAAAATACAGTGTAAACTTCTAGAAAGTATTAAGAAGTAACATCTGAATTTTTAAACAGAATGTACTTAACTATTCTTTCTTCTATTGTTAATACAGTTATTTGAAGAATAATTTGGATGTGAATTAACTTAGTGTTGTTATTAATAATATCAGTTCTGACATGACTAATAAGTTATTGCACTAAGGACTTTTGCTTTCTACTCCAGGTGAAATGTAAATCCAGTAATACTTCTTACAAATTTTAATTCAGATATAAATCAAAATCAAGGTGATTAACTTTTGATTTATTCAACAATAAAAGCCATTTGGTATTTTTGGGTGTAATGGAAGATGCATTTCATTCAATTCTGATCTTTTGATTCAATTCAATTGCACTGTAATTTTATACTAAAGGGATATTGCAATTTTTAACCACACTTTTTCTTCTTTCATCTGTATATATTACTTTAGTTTTAACATATAAAGCTCCAGAGTTTCTGTTTGATCTTCATGATATTTCAGATTATTGATGGGTAGCAATACATAAGACAGTTTTACCAAAAATATGTTTATTAGAAAATAAATTTATGGCCTATGAAAATATCTTTGCCATTAGATGTCACTGCATTCTGAGCTAGTTCCTTTGTAGTCACACTTGAAAACTACAAGCAATATATTTTCAATTCTCAGAAAAAAAAAAAAAAAAATCCAAGTATTGAATTTAGTGATGCTTTTAACATACAGGTGGTTTTTATTTTCAAACCAGTAAAGCAAATATTATACCTTTTTCTTATTCTTACAAGAATTGAAATCT